CCCGCGAGTTCGACCTGCCTGGGCAACTTGGCGAGACCTCATCTCTACAATAAATCAAAAAATCAGCTGGGCATGGTAGCACATGCCTGTAATTCCGGCTACTCGGAAGGCTGAGGTGGAAGGATCGCCGAAGCCCAGCAGGTCGAGGCTGCAGTGGCTGGGAGCGGCCACTGCACTCCAGTCTGGGTGACAGAATGGGACTCCAACTCAAAAAAAAAAAAAAAAAAGGTGGGGGCTGTGGAAGTAGGAAAACAACAGCACTTGTAGTAATGCAAGCTTTAGTATTTGTCAAAGACCTTGCCATTAGAGAGGAGGGGAGATGGACCAAGGAAGATACCAGTTAGAGAGGGAGTCACTTGGTGATCTTACAGCAAGCATGAACTTGACCAGGAAAATGATTACTTTTTTTTTTTTTTAAGTCAGGGTTTCACTCTATTGCCCAGGTTGGAGTGCAGTTGCACAATCATGGCTCACCACAGCCTTGACCTTCTGGGCTCAGGCGAGCCTTCTGCTTCAGTCATCCGAGTAGCTGGTACTACAGGTGTGCACCAACACGCCTGGCTACATTTTTTATTTTTTGTAGAGACTAGTTCTTGCTATGTTTCCCAGGCTGGTCTTGAATTCCTGGGCTCAGGCAAACCTCCCTCCTTGGCCTCCCAAAGTGCTGGGATTACAGGCGTGAACCACCAAGCCCAGCCCAATTCTTTATTTCTGGAAAGAAGGTAGCTTAGAATTTTCCCACTTTTCTCAGTTTATGACCTGGTTAGGGAGATTGAAACATAGGGGCTAGGGAAAAGATGGTTGGAGCCTTACTGGAAATGAGACGCAAATATCAGTGAGAGCTCTTTATCAGTGACTCCCAGAGATTGCTGCTAGTTTTGGTGTGAATACTGCAAATGACTGGTATATGGTTACAGTTTCTAAAGCAACTCAGATAAGAGGCTTTAAAAAGATCCTTTTAAAGGGGAAGTAAAATTCAAGATTTAGTTGAAATGCCATTGGTCTACATCTAAATGTTTGCTTCTTTAAATAGAAACACTGAGTAGTATTTTATTTTATGTATTAATTTATTTTTGAGACAGGGTCTCACTCTGTCGCCCAAACTAGAGTGCAGTGGTACTATCATGGTTCATTGAAGCTTCAAACTCTTATGCTAAAGTTATCCTCCCACTTCAGCCTCCTGAGTAGCTAGGACTACAGGTGTATGCTACCATGCTCTGGTTAAGCTTTTGATTTTTTGTACAGGTGAAGTCTTGCTATGTTGCCCAGGCTGGTCTTGAATCCCTGGGTTCAAGCAATCCTCTTGCCTCAGCCTCCCAAAGTGATGGGGTTGTAGGCATTAGCCACTGTGCCCAACTACCAAGTGGTATTTTGAATAAAAATCTATATGGGTCAAGTTAGTTTTTATTTAAATATTTATATTTTGATTTTAATAGTGGTTTTATAGGAAAAGTTCTTAAACAATAAGCTAATCGCAGGACTCCACGTCTTTTTTTCTGGTGCCATCACAAGCTGCACCATGATGCTGGGTAAGAGCTCATTGCACCTGTGGCCGTGTGCCTCATGGCTTCGATTCTGACTCTGCCATAGCAAATGCCACCGTGACACACACTTCTCTTCCAGTAGGAGCTGAGGAATGGAATCTCTGTTGGCTATTTTCTCCTCTTCTAATAAATCACCCAAGGACTTCATCATGTGTGTCTTCATTTCCTTGGGCCCTTTACATCCCAGAAACTTAAAGGTGGCTTTGTGGTCTATTGCTTTATAGGATTTTTTTTAAATAGGCAGAAACAGATTTGATGTACGATTTTAGCTCTTCATACGAGAGTACTTCCTATTCCGTGGAAGTTGAAGAGGTGGTGGAAACAACCCTGGCCTTCGCAGACTGATAACGAGCCTGAGAATTAGAAACTGGGCTCCCATCCAGTGACTCTGAGCCAATAATGGAGTTTGGAGCTATCAGAAACCTGGATCCTGGCCTTGGTAGGGGTGGGGGTGACTCGATACACAGAATAGCTTTGTTTCCCAGGGAGCTGTGGTCTTTCCAGGTCATTTGGGGACTTGGAGGATGCCTGTCCGGCCTTCCTAATGGAGCTGTGGCTTGTTCTCACCCAGCTGCCCCAGCACGTGTGGAGCAGATGGCTTTCATTGCCAGCCACTTCCATCTCCATTCTAGGATGAGTGGCCTTGAGACTGTACCAGAAGGTGGAGATATCCTGTAGCGGAAATCACGTGGGTTTAAATCTCATGCTTGCCACTTGTTGGCTCCTGACCCTGCGAAAGTCTTTTGGTGTCTTTAAGCCTCATTCCCACATCTGTAAAATGGTGACACTTTGTAGACTTGTGAGGATTAACAAGATTACAAATGTAGAACACATTTTATTCAAGGTGAAATCACCTACAGGGAAATTCAGGGCACCCACTGTATTTTTTTAGCACCTCCCTTTAGCAGCCTTTCTGCACCCTCACTCCCATGCAAGAAGTCAATGGCTCTGGAAGCAGCTCAAGGATGCACACAGCTCGCTCTGGCTTCTTCTGGATGCTCCAGAGCCCCCTAGGTCCCCTCATTTTTTCCCTCTAGGCTCTTCTCTCTCACAAGACTGTCCTTGTGGCATCCTATCCTTTGGGCAATTCTTTGCTGTATTTGTGCGCTAAAGAGCACTCAGGGTTGGGAGCTCTCTGCTCAATTTCCATGACAGTCCACATTCTTACCCTGGGAGTGCCCAAGGCACAGGAAGAAGTGTTCATTCCATTCAACAGGAGAACAGATTTTTTTTTTTAAGCTGGAGTCTCACTGTGTCACTCAGGCTGGAGTGCAGTGGCACACTCATAGCCACTGCAGTCTCGACCTGTTGGGCTCAGGCTATCCTTCCGACTCATCCTTCCAAGTAGCTGGAACTATAGGCATGCACTACCATGCCCAACTGATTTTTTGATTTATTGTAGAAATGAGGTCTCACCAAGTTGCCCAGGCTGGTCTCGAACCTGTGAGCTCAGGCAGTCCTCTCACCTTGGCCTCCCAAAGTGCTGGGATTACAGGATTGGCTTGAGCCACCATGCCCGGCCGAGGGGAGCAGATTCCTTCCCTCTTCTTCTGGTTGTTCTGTCATAACTTTGGATTCCAGGAAAGAATAGGTACCTCCACCCTATTAGCTCTGTGCGTTTGTGCACATGTGTGTGGCATGTGGCATAGGCTGGTAAGGATTAGGAGGTAGATTGTCTGCTCATCTCCAAGGTGGGAAGACCAGGAGAAATTAATGGACAAGTCCTCTTAGGTTGTCTTCCTTATTCTAGTGCACCAAGGCATTTCTGCATATGGTCTTGAATCCTTGTTCCCTCGTTGGCAAAGGGAAAACGTGTATGGAAAGAGGGAAAGCTTATCGAGATTAATCTAGAGAGGGTCGGGGTCGTACTCTGCCAGGCCAGAATGGTACTAAGAACAGGATGTGCGGTGGGGTTGTACACTTACATTTCTGATCAGTTTCCAGTCCCTCAGGCTTGGGGGCTGCAAAGGAAGATATCCAGGGAACTGGGGAATGTTGAAGCACTAGGAAATAGGGTCGAAGCAGAAAATTCTTCTGAGTGGAGGAGCTATGAAGGTTGTTTGCAGAATCTGTGGATTGGGGCCGTTCAATGAATCAATGTCTGGAAAGAAGCACAAACTTGTGCGATGATGTTGGTAAGGACTACCAGGAAAGGTTGGAGAGGAAAGATCCAGAATTGACAAGAAACCTCCAACCCTCCTTAGGGACAATTTGGGTTCTTCAAAGTTCCATTTGAATCCCACTCCAACAAATGGCACTCACATTTGACCCTGCCTATCCATCCCATCTTCCATGATTACATGAAGCTTCTCACCCAAGCAAGACCATCCTTAGAACATTGAGTCTCATATTAGAATGTTAGGGTGCTTATTGGTTTAGACTCTTTCAAGAAAACTGCTAGTGGAGGGAACTTTCCCTGCAGAATTTTGCTTATAGAAAAGGACTAGAATGACCTGGCCAATGTCTAACATAACCAGTTTGCCTCTGAGTTATATTTGGCCTGAGTCAGGTGGTCGGTGAGTCTTGTTTTTGCACGCCTCTGGATTGGGCCCATCCACACAGGAGAGGTTTGATTGTCACCAAACCCAGAGCGATCAACTGCCCTCATTGAATCCAAGGGAAAAGAATCTTGGGTTCCCAAAGCATTCTCTGAGCTCTTGGGTTCTTCCTGTGGCTTTGTAGGAATACAAAGAACAGAACGAATTGTTTAGAGTAATGGCCCTAACATTTATTCTCAGGTGGTGAATAGGAGAAGTGAGGTGTAGACATACTTGCTCTCTTGCTCATGGAGTCTTACTGAAGTCAGGATCATCATTCCTTGTGTGTTTATCATCATCTGAGAAGGCGAGTCTCACCATCTTAAAGACCTGCCCCCAGCCCCCTCAAACCCGACATTTCCCAGGAAACACTCTGTAACTGTTCAAAGACCCCGAACAGAGAAGCTCTCACACTTCTTATATTAACTCCAATAGTGCTGAGGGGGAGGAGGAGTACACAAAGCAGGAGGGTGGGTGGGGGAGACTCAGAATCACACAGCCTAGTGTGGGGGGGTGTTGGGTAAGGTGTTCCCCAAGGACTCACACTTTCCCTCCTTCCTTCCCCTCCCTCCCCTCCCAGGACACCAGGCTCTGATGGGGTCAGTCCCACCTCAGAGTTCAGAGGTATCAAGTCCAAGGACAAAACTGCAAGAGTATGGACACAAAACACCAAACAAATTGGGGGTGGGCTCCCAGCCGGTGTGGTGAGAGAGTTGCCTCTTCGGCTAAGGCCATTTCTGGCTTCTCAGCCTCCAAGGTATGGGCTGTGCGCAGCAGGGGGAGCCAGGGTCTCTGGGGCAGCTTAGTGCTGGGGAGAACTTCACCCCCTTTTCCCCAGGGCTGCGTGGGAGCACAGGCACGGGGGAGGGCTTGCAGTAGGCAAGGGGTAGAGCCTACGGGACACTGGAGAGTGGACGGCAGTTTCATGAAAGCAGAGTGATAGCTGCCACGTGAGCCTGTGGGAGGAGCAGGTCATGGAGGGGTCTCCAGGAAAGGGGTGGGGACAAAGGTGTCCAGCACTGAGCACAGCGCACTCGGCTGCACCCCTGTCCGTTTCCACACCCACTGCCTCTGGCACACCGCAGCTGGGGACCCAGATTTGTGCTTGATCAGAGCTTCGAAGGAAGTGGTGACAGACGTGCTGTGAGGCTGTCCTGGAGGTGTCCAGTACTGGGGTCCTCTGCAAAGTGCCCCATGTCCCTGGACAATCGGCACGTGCCCTGCCCTCTTCCCCGGCCGGTCCCCACCCGCAGTGTGTGATCCTCAGACATGAGTCTGCATCCGCCGCTGCAGGGGTCGGCTGGGGTCAGAGTTCTGGGAAGAGGACTGGGAATGGTGGGAAGAGGAGGCGGAGGCCTTGCTGGCCTTGTCGAACTGCACGTAGCCATCCTGCTTGCCGCTGCTGCTGACGCTGCTGTCACACTGTGTGTCCAGGAAGGAGCTGCTGTCGCTGAGGGAGCCTCTCTGGAACTCCCGCTCACAAAGCTCGATGGATGAGCTGCCCATGCCCAGCACGAACCGCTGCCCGTAGTCGTAGAGGCGGCCCTGGCCACTGAGGGTGCTGTAGATGTTGGTGAAGGACATACCCGTGGGCACGCGCTGCTTGCCCGCTGGACGCAGGTCTGGCTGACAGCTGGACAGGGAGATAGTTGGGGTTGAGTGGTGCTCTTTGAAGGTGTTGACACTGTAGTAGCCGTTGGTGGGGTCCTGGGTGGGCAAGAGCAAAAGGGGTGTCACCCAGCAGAACCTTCACTCAGCATAGCCCGGGCTTCTAGGCTGAGTCCGTCCTGCCATACACAGGGAGGGGTGAGGGAGAACAGGAGGAAGGCGGAAGGGCATCCAACAAGAGACAGCAAAGGTGTATCTTGGAGAGCATGAGGAGAGGGCTGACAGGGGCTCAGGGGAGGCAGGGAACGCTGAGGGGTGAAGGGAGGGAAACAGAGGCTCTTGAATGGGTTTATGTCAGGGCAATGCAAGATCATTTGAAAATAAGACTTAAAAAAGAATTCCCGGGCTCGGTGGCTCAGCCTGTAATCCCGCGCCTTTGGGAGGCTGAGGTGAGTGAATTGCCTGAGCCCACGGGTTCGAGACCCGCCTGGGCAGCGAGACCTCATCTCTACAATAAATCAAAAAATCAGCCGGGCATGGTAGCGCATGCCTGTAATTCCGGCTACTCGGAAGGCTGAGGCGGAGGGATTGCTGGAGCCCAGCAGGTCGAGGCTGCGGTGGCCTGGAGTGGCCACTGCACTCCAGTCTGGGCAACAGAGTGAGACTTCCACTCAAAAAAAAAAAAAGAATTTCCCTCTTAGCTGGGTTCAGTGTGGCTCATGCCTGTAATCCCAGCACTTTGGGAGGCAGAGGTGAGAGGAAAAAAAAAGAAAAGAAAATAAGACTTCAAGGCTGGATGTGGTGAGTCACACCTACCTGTAACCCCAGCACTTTGGGAGGCCAAGGAAGGAGCACTGCTTGAGCCCAGAAGTCTGAGACCAGCCTGGGCAGCATAACAAGATCTAGTTTTCTTTTTCTTTTTTTTTGAGTTGGAGTCTTACTCTGTCACCCAGACTGGAGTGCAGTGGCCGCTCCCGGCCACTGCAACTTCGACCTGCTGGGCTCCGGCGATCCTTCTGCCTCAGCCTTCCAAGTAGCTGGAACTGCCTGGCTAATTTTTCTCAATTTATTGTAGAGGTATCACCAAGTTGCTCAGACTGGACTTGAACCCCTGGGCTCAGGCAATCCTCTCACCTCAGCCTCCCAAGGTGCCGGGACTACAGGTGTGAGCCACCGCCCCCCCCATGAAACCTAGTTTCTAAAAAAAAAAACAATAGCCAGGCATGGTGGCATGTGCCTGTAGTCCCAGCTACTCAGGAGGCTGAGGCAGAAGGATCTCCTGAGCCCAGGAGGTCAAGGCTGTGGTAAGCTGTGATCGCACCACTGCACTCTAGCCTGGGTGATGGTGAGACCCCGACTCAGAAAAAAAAAAGAAAAAAAGCCTTTAGTTGATTTTTGTTTTTATCTAGACCATGGATGCTTAACTTTGAAACCTGAGTGAGGAGGCTGTGGGAGAGAATTGTGGGAACTCAGCCTTAACTCTCTCAGCCTCCTCAGTGTTGAGGTGGAGAGAGCAGGTGTCCTTGGCAGGGGACTGTCCCACTGAGGGAGTATATAGAACCTGTCCCCAGGCTGCCTTTGGCCTTTCTCATCTCCTACTGGCTGTCATTCTTTGCATAGGTTTGGGGCTTGGGCTATCAGAGCTGAAGACCAGATTCCACGGCTGTGTCCTATGACCTGTGGCGCTTCTTACCTTCAGATTCTGAAACTCTTTCTCTTCTTCTTTGAGGACCTCCAGCTGCTTCAGTACTGAGTCTTGCTGGAATTCACCCCGGTCCATCTACAACCCAAAAATGGCTGCTCAGTGGATAGGAGGGGAACTAACCCTCTACTTCCCCCAAGGAAAAGATGGAAAAATAAACCCCTAAGATTGCTATATAAAAGCCCCCTTTCCCCAACCCTCCACTGTCTGGACCATGGAAGGCCAGCAAAAGCGTCAGGGTGAGTTCTTCAGCCCCCATCCTAAAAGACAGATAGGTGAGGTGGGTGGGTGAGGCTGGGACAGGTCTCTGAGGCCACGTTGCCTTTGCTTGGGCTAGGACATCCTCTTCAGATCTTACTCGGTTGGTTCAATTCAATTCATTGAGTATTTATTATAAAATCCTGGCCAGGCACTGTGCTAAGGGCCAGAGATTCGTAGACGAAGATGCATGCAGATACAGCTTTGCTCTTCAGAAAGATGGACTTGTAGGTAAATAATTGCAGAACATCAACCATGCTCCTTGGGGCAGCTCATCATCACCCAGTGCGAGGGTCTAATGAAGGTGAGGTGCTGGCAACATGGGCTACACCTGTCACTCACAGCAGGGACTTGGGCGCACTGAGAAGTTGCCAAACAGCCTGAGGGCAAGGATCACTTCTTGCTTCTGTCCCCACCCCCACACCTGGTCCAGCACCTTGTATATGGTGGTCACTGGCCAAAATGCTTTTGGAATGGAATCTCTTCATTCTTTGATTTGTCCATGCCTAGCACAGTGACTGATATACAGTAGGGCTGTTTCAAGTGTTATGTTTAAGTTGAATGAATGAATGAAGTAGCAGTTTAGCTCTAAATTAGTGAAAATTAAAATAATAATCATACATAAGATGAAAAGCAAAGCGTACTCCACATACAGTGAGTGTGTGAATTAATCCAGATAACCACAGTGATGGTTAACCTGTGACACAAAAGAGGTTTGTCACATGTCACTTCTGCTAGGCCAGGTTCCCACCTACTCTCTGGGCTGGGATTCCATTCCCCACCCCAACCCACCCCCAGACTGTTTTTTCTTCCTTGCAAACTCGCTTTCCTTGTCTCTTGCAGAGCCCACAGAATCAGCCAAAGTGTTTCCATCCGGTCATCTCCCACCAGTAAATGCTCAGGCTCTATCTGGATTGGAGCTTTTCTTTCCCACCAGATTCAGTTTCTAGGCCTGCCTTTCCTTGGTGACGAGGCCCTCTCGGGCGGGCGGGAGTTGGGGGATCCAGCTCTCCCCAAGGGCAGGCTTAGCCATGGAGCTTTTGACAACTCCCTTCCGCCATGTTATTTCTCTGCTCTCACTTGACTACTGAGCATCCCCCACTGTCTCCTGAAGGTTGGGCTGGGTGGTGTGTGAGCAGTCTGAGGCAAACAGAATGTCCCAGTGGCAAGGAATTCAAGGTCCCATTTAGGAGGAAGGACAGATCTGAAGAAGCTTAACTACAGAGCCGGTCATTCCTTATCAGGTCTAGGCTATGGTTTCCTCCGTTGTAAAATTAAACCCTCTACAGTGTTAGGCTGGGGGAACGCAGACAAGTGTAGGCTCAGGAACATGACCTTCGCCCTTGAGGAGCTCTGGGATAACTGGGGAGGCTGACACATAATTAGAGGAATGCACTGTAAAGGAGACACATGCAGAATGTTTTGGGAGAGCAGAAAGGGCACCGCTCCGCCAGCAGTGAGGGGACAAGCATGGAAATGTATGGAGTTGATGACACTTGGGCTGATTCTTGTAGGAGAATGTGAAATTCAACCAAGTCAACAGACAGAGGGAACTGCCTGTGCACGGGCCTTTGAGGTATAAAAGACCATAAAAGGCCAGGAATCACAAGCTCTTTGGTGTGTCTGGGAGGCTGGATACGCTTGGCCTGAGGATGGAGCTGGAGGGGTTGGCAGCTGCCTGGCAGTGAGGGGCCTTGATGACATGCTGGGTGGTTGGACTTTGTCCAGGAGATATGTGGAGCCACAAAAGGATTCTAGGTAGGATAAGGACAGCATCAGATTTGCGTTTTAGGAGAACTCCTTTTTGGGACTCTGGAGGCTAGGGTGAGAAAAATAGCCAAAGACTAGAAGTGTGAGACCAGTTAGAAAACTGTTATAATTTTTTGGGGGGGATGGTGGTGACAAAGCCTGAAGTAAGGAAGTGACATTGAAGGGGAGGTGAGGGCACACCATTGAGACATTTTTTGAAGTGGAATTGACAGGACCTGAAAATTAATTGGACAGAGAAAGAGTAGCTGAGGGAAAAGTCAGTTCAATTCAGTAAACATTTGTGAGCCTCTGCCAGGGACCATGTAAGGCCCTTGGAGACTCAGGGATTCATATGGCCCCAGCTGCTCACCATATAGCAACGTGAACAGCTAATACTTATTGGGCATTTACGGTGTGCCACAGGCTCCAAGCTCTTAGAGGTATTACCCATTTAACTCTCGCCACCATCTGGTTTACTGCTCCTTTTATACCCATTTTATAGATGAGGACACTGAGGCACAGAGAAACCCACGATTTTTGCCCCTTACTCTGCTGGTGCTATGACAACATACTACAACCATGACACAGTATGTACTAGAAGCTTCAAGCATAATTGTTTAAGTTTCTGCTTGGACTGCTGGGTAGATTATGACCCATAAATAGAAATCGGGAAGAGGAGGAGCAGGCTTGGTATTGCTGGGGAAGTTATGAGTTTGCTTTTGGTGAACAATCCTATTCCCAAGGAGGAACCTATGCTTCTTGAAGACTTTTTTTTAAGTTGGGGGAGGGGCATGCATGGAATATCTACAGTATTTATATGTGAAGGATTATATGTCATACAACAACGTATGATGGCAATTTCCGTGTGTCTTTTCTCCCAACTGGATAGTCAGGTTCTGTGATGGCTGAGACTGCATCTTAGATGTCTGAGAATTTCCCAGAACATCACACATAGTATAGCAGGCACGCAATGAATATTTGTTGGCTGAGATGTACGCCTGGCCTATTGTGAGGTGGGGTGGAAGGATCGTGACTGAGGCACTGCTTCTTGGAAGCCCCTAGGGGAGTCTTGGGTGGGGTGGGGGAATAAGACAGCATTCTTTTTTTTTTTTGAGTTGGAGTCTCACTCAGTTGCCCGGGCTGGAGTGCCATGGCACACTCATGACCACTCCAGCATTGACCAGCTAGGCTCTAGAGATCCTTCCACCTCAGCCTTCCAAGTAGCTGGAACTACAGGCACGCGCTACTATGTCCAGCTAGTTTTTAAAAAATTTATTGTGGAGACGCAGTCTTGCCAAGTTGCCCAGGCTGGTCTCGAACCCGCAGGCTCAGGCAATCCACTTGCCTCGGCCTCCCAAAGCGTGGGATTAAAGGCTGAACCACCGAGGCCGGCCAAGACAGCATTCTTACCATCAGTTGCTTGATGGTGGGGTGCTCTTCAGCCTCCCGACCAGAGGCAGGCTCCTTGTGGACAATTTCCACTCGGATATCATTTTTGGCTGACACAACACCTTTGAGATCTGGACATAAGATAGGAACGTGTAGATGACAGATTCAGTTCTTTCCTTTGCAATGTCAAGCTGCCCCGCAGCCCCTGCCCCTGCCCACCACCCTCCAGACTTTACCCTCTAATCCCTAAACTCAGCAGCTTTGGAGGCCCCCCTCCAATGGAATGTCTGTGGGCTGTTTCTTTCTCAGAGGAGGCCGACCCCATGACTGCTAGGCCCCTTTTGCATGCACCTCAGCCATCCACCCATGGCCTGAAAGGTTATCCTCAGCCATTTGTCTGCCTTCCTGAGTGAGGTCCTTTACATCCTGCTGCATTCTCTCTTCCTCCTGGAAGTCTTCTCTGACCTACTCTGTTGAGCTCTGATCTCTCCATTCATAGAATCTTAGATCTCAATGTTATGAAGGACCTCGAGGGACCCATGGCGAACCTCCCACCCAAAGCGGACCATCCCTGACACACCATGGGCCAGCTTCTCTGCTGGTGCTTCCGTGATGGTGATGGAAGTTTTACAACTTTTTTGAGAGGTGACCTATTTTTAGTCGGAGAGATCCACTAGAAAATTCTTCTAAAATATGCTCCTTTGAGCTGGGCTCGGTGGCTCAGCCTGTAATCCTGTGCCTTGGGAGGCTGAGGTGAGTGGATTGCCTGAGCCCGCAGGCTCGAGATCCCCCTGGGCAAGTTGGCGAGACCTCATCTCCACAATAAATCAAAAAAATCAGCTGGGTGTGGTAGCGCATGCCTGTAATTCTGGCTACTTGGAAGGCTGAGGTGGAAGGATCGCTGGAGCCCAGCAGGTTGAGGCTGTGGTGGCCGGGAGCAGCCACTGCACTCCAGTCTGGGCAACAGAGTGAGACTCCAACTCAAAAAAAAAAATGCTCCTTTGTAATTTCCCCCGAGAGGGTGGTGAGGGAGGTCCCAAAACCACAATCATTGGGAGTAGTTGTGGGAGCCAAGTCTATTTGGCTCAGAGTAGAGAAAAATGTAAGGGGAGCATGCAGCTTTTTCCAACACGTGAAGGTGGCCCCGTGGTATAGAGAGCAGACTTATGCTGGGGATTTGTTTTGTATATTATGCTGTAGACTGTTAGGGCTGGGTGGGGTCATACAAGTTATGTCATCCAGCTCCTTCATATTACAGATGAGGAAACTGAGATCTGGACTAGTGTGGCTTGGCAGAAGAGGTGGGACTAGAGGACTGTGTCTCCACTGTCCTCGTGTCTTCTCTGCCATCCTGACATACATGTGCATAATAGTCTAGCCCACGTAACTTCACAGCTGTGGCCGGTGTGGACATTCGGGTACACACAGTTCTTTAAGCATGCACAAACACTAGAATATTATTGCTAAGGATTGAAGACTTTAAAAAATTTGCTCAAAGCAATTCCTTAAATGCCTCCACTTCCCACTCCCCCCAAGCAAGTGATCTGTCCTTCTGGTTAGGCTAGCAGCTCTTGGAGAGCAAGGGTCAAGCCACTTCTTCCCCCCACTCCCAGGCTATCTACAGTCCCCCATCAAGAGAGCTACGTGCGTTCAATCCCAAGTGCTGGCTGACTGCCTTGCGGATGAAGTTCAGCCCAGTCTGGGTCAGCATCAGCTGAGTGCCCACTCTGAGCCAGACACCACGCGAGGCACCGCCCATCAATGATGCATCCGACCCAATCCCTGCCCCAGCGGCTCACAGCACTGTGAGGGCCCCTGTTCATTGCACTCCTGCTTACTTGCTCTCCGGGGCAGCCTAAGCCTGGCCATTTTCTCTGTCCCCCTCCCTGAGATCCCGGGTCTCCCTCCCGTACTTCTCTGGGAACGGGCACAGCAGAAAGCCACGATGGTTGCCATGAGGACGAGGAAGGCCACGCCGGCTCCCACGGCCACCCCAATGATGACGGCCATCGGCACAGACTCTGTGGGAGAGAAGTTTGCACAGCTGAACTAGGAATGGGGGACAGCCCGCTCTCCCCCTAGGACCTCACACACTCCCTCGGGTGCAGCCCCTGTCACATGGGCCCTTCCTGGGAAATGCCTTTGTGGGTAGGCACAGGCAGAGGCAGAGTCCAACAGGGGTCGTCTCTAGCTGGGACAGCAAAGACTGGGGTGGAGGACATGGGGGGGTAGGAGTGAGGGAGGGGGCAGGGAGGAACTGGAGAAGGGGACAGAGGAAGAAGAGTGAAGCAGGCAGACTCAGAAAAGGGGCAAGGCTGGCACAATTTAGCTCTCTTTGGCATTAAACAGGAATGTTCTGTCACGCAGTGGCTAGTGAGTCATAAGTCCTGGCTTTTCTTTGAAAAATGACTATGGTCACTGCCCTTGTTTGTGTAGTTTGTTCTTTCCTTTCCCAGATGCATTTAGAGGACAACCAGCTCTTAGGGACAGTCTTCAGATCCAAGGCAGCTTCCTCCCTGGCCTGCTGCCATCAGGGGTTGTAGCCCCCAGGTGTCCAAGTACCAGAGGGCAGAGGAGCAGGATCGCAGCCCCCACTGCCACCTCTCTAAGGAGAGATGTTCCTTTCTCTTGGTCCCCAGGCCTACTGCTTCTCCCCCTAGGCCAGCCCTTGAGCACCCTCGCTCCCCTCCTGCGAGGCAGGCCCTCATGCCCTGCTGAGTCTCGGCATCTGTCTCCTGCCCTTGCCCAGGAGAGGTGGGGAGGGAAAGGGTGATGCTGGGGGATCAGGGGATGGGTAGGTGATCTTCCAGACAGTCCTGAACCTTCTCTGGCTGCCTATGGGGCCTGAGCACATTATCTGGGACCCTGAAGAATTGATCAGGAATAGAACTAGAGAATGTTGGGGTCGGGGCAGGGAAAACTTGGGGCCCACTGAGTCCGGGCCTCCCATTTCACAGACAGAGTTGCTGGGGCCCAAAGAAATCGAGTGACTTGGCCAAGGACACACAGCTGCAGTTGAGCCAGAGTAAATCCAGGTCTCTTCTTACTGCCCCGCCCCTTCACTCGCCCACTCCTCCCCACACCCCCAAGCACTGCCCATTGTATCACACGGCATCCTCCAAGTGTCATGCGCTTGGTACAGCCCACAGACTGTTGTGGTATTGCGTCTTGGCTCTATCCCTTCTTCTGAGTGACTGACTTTACTTCTCTTATCTGTAAAACAGGGATGAGGATGGTGGCCACCTCTATGGGGTTCAGCTGGGGGAATGTAGTAGAGGCCTTGGAGCAGACCTGTTCCCCAACTCTGCTCAGCACTGGCTCCTGTTACTGTCCTGGAAGGGGCCACCGCAGCAGGTCACCACCTTAAAGGCTAGGAAAGTTCCTTTTAAAGCCTGGGCCCCTCTCAGCCCCACCCTACATTCATCAGTGTGGATGACTTCGGGCAACTCAGACTGGCTCAAGGGTTAGCTTTTCATCGTTGCTGCTTTCTTTAAAGAGAAAACCTCAAACCTTGGTCCCTAAAATGCTGCTGAGAGGAGGTGTCGGGTGGTGGGGGGGCAGCTACTTGTCCTCTGCCGGAGATCTGTTGCCGGAGGGGTTGGCATTCTGGTTGGCAGTGTTGGTGATGCCGGCCATTCCCTTGCTACCCAGGACCTGCACACAAACTCAGTACCCACCTACTGGCAATGAGACCACTGCAGGGGTGACAGGGGAGGGGACCAAGAGGGAGTAGGTGTGGCAAACACTCAAGGATTGAAAATAGGGAGTGCTTGGGTTGGTCTCAACAATGAGGACTGAGAATAGGGACGTGACCTTGGTTGAGTTTGCTCTGACAAATAGATGATTCTGTCTCTGGGCTTTAATTCCATTAGGAAAGGAAAACTGTGCGAGAAGCTCATTGGTTAATTTGGGTTTGATTTAGTTTCTCCTCGGATTCCTAGTTAAGTTTTCTTGGAAAAACTCAGGGCTTGTCTCAGCTGAACTCACATCCCAAGCCTAAAGAGCAAGGTTGGCCGTATCTAAGTTGCCTTCTGACCCTGGCATCGTATGAGACCGTTTCCTTGAGGTGGTAACAGCTGAGGGTCGGGGGAGAGAGGCGCCATCTTAGCTGGACAATGGTCCCCAGGTAGGTACGCAGGGACAGAGGGAGGGGGGAGCTGTGTGGCTATGTGGACCCTGGGGTGGCATCCCTTCCCAGTTCCTGACCTGTCTGTGTGCATCTCCTCCTTGCCTGGCCTCCTGAGGTTTGGCCCAGGCTGCCTGTGCAAGCTGCTCCTCCCCAGGAGAGGAACCCAAGAGAAGGGCTGTCCCCACTCGGCTTCCCCTTCACCCAAAGAGGTGGATCAGGCCTGAGGAGTCTCAGCCAAGGGAGGAAGGTGTCAGGGAGCGCAGGTGAGTGTGAATAGACACGTGAAATGGAAACAGGGGGACACCGCTCCTCAGTGTCAGGGCAGACTGCGAGGGGACTCGGAGAATACCACAGGAGGCTGAAAATGCTCTGTGTGGGCTGCAGGGGCCTCTGGGAGTTAGCCTGCCCTCCGGGTTGGTGCTCTGATGGAGGTGCATCTGCCCAGGGGGGTGGGGCCCCGTATGGAACTTGCTGAAGGGGGGAACACAGGCCAGGGGCCAGTGTGGCAGGAGATCTGGGTCAGAGGACCCTTTGAGTCTTCAGCATGGCTGTAGAGTCTGACTTGCTACCTCCTGATTATTTTTTCTAGTTTTCTGCTTGGGAATGGGGAGGGGACATTTATCTCTCGTGGGGTCCCAAGACGGAGCCACTCAACCCTTTGCTACAGGGTGCCAGGGAGGGAGGCCCTGCCACACAGCCTCGGCCTGAGAGGAGATGACACTTCCACAGGGGACTGTGGGAGTAGGGAGGGGACGGCAGGCGGCAAGCACGGATTAAACAAGCCACAGCAGGGATTGGGGGCCCGGTGTCCTGGGAAGCAATGACCACACTGGTGATGATGTGGAGAAGCAGGAGAGGCAGGGAGAGCCTGGGGACAGAGGAGGCCAGGACAGGGGTGAGCTGACCCAGGGGACAGGAGTCAGGACTTCTGAAGAGAAGAGATGGAAGGAATGGGGGGAGGGGTGAGATCCATTGTCCAGGTGAGGGAGGAGCTGTGGGGTGCAGACAGGAGACAGGTCTCTGGGGTCCCTAGACCCAAGCTGGCTGGGAACCCTTCTCCCCGCTGCTCTGACTACACTACACCCTCGGGACGGGGGAGGGCAGAGAAGTTAGCGGCCTGCACAGGCCTCCCTGCCCCCTTCTGGGTCCCTCCCCCACTAGCCAAGAAGCCCCTTCCCCCCATCCAGGGTGGTTCTCATGGTCTCCTTCCGTACCTGCTTCCAGCCCGGCTCCCGACTTCATTTCCGAACCTGTTTGGAAATAAAGCAAGCGTCCACAGCCAGGGCCTGGCTGGCCGGGGTGGGGTGGGGCTGGGGGATCAGCTACCTGGAGGCGGCAGGGGCGAGGGGGCTCCCTCCTCAGTCATGTCTCTGGGACCCCTGACAGATCCAGGCTAGCCCAGCTGAACTTGGAGTTCATTCAGACTGACTCAGAGACTCCAGAGGGGCTAGGGACCCAAGAGAGAGGTCACGTCTCGGAGGGGTCTGGGGAGGTTGGGTGAGAACACTTAGGGGAGGGCATGGGGGGCACCGAGGGGGAAGACACGGAGGGTAGGCAACAGGGGACCAGGAAGGTTCGGGATGATGTGTGGATGATATTATGCAAATTATGTGCAAAGCGTTATGCAAAGCAGCATCTATTAGGGAAGAGGTGTTGGGAGATGCCGAACGATTGGATCCATAGGTGCCATCACCACGTGGTCCACTGAGGCCTGGTGGCCTGGCTGGGACCACCTGCTTGGTCCAGAATCTCTCACCAGGGCCTGACGGCCTGTGGGTGGGTCTTCACCTTGGAGGGCATCTGAGGCTGCCAGGACAAAGGCCTCCCGGCCTCTGGGCCCAGCTAGAGTCCCAGGCCCGGTTGAGCATGAATTCCTGTTCCACCATAGCTTAGCCCCGGCTGGCAGTGAGGCAAGATCTGTTGCCCATTTCTGGACTGAGTGTGCTGCTGGCCATGGCGGAGCCCTCTGGAACCACCGCTCAGTGCCCCTCGAGGCTTCCGGTCCTACAGTCTGTGCAAGAACTTTGTGCAAAGACGGGTGCTCCAAGATCTGACCAGGAGCTACAGCCGCCAGCACACGGGGTCACAGCAGGATGAGGCTTCTCCTTCCTTCCCCTCACCCGCCCAGCTGCTCTGTGCCCTCCTGCCCAGCGCTGCCTTTGGAGATAGTGGTCCGGGTGCCTCCTGGGGGTCTGCGTATGGTCTGAGCCCAGCCACCCCCACATCAGGGATCCGCACAAGGAAGCGTTGCCCCTCGGCTATAGCTTGGGTGCCCTCTGTGGGGCTTCTGGGTAACTGGCCTGGCGTGTGGTCTTAACTGGGCCTGGGCCAGGTTCCCGACACATCCGTGCCAGTGTGTCCCATGCTCTGCCTAGGTCTAGTGCCCCCCTAAGACCAGGGCCCAGAGGGAGGGCGGAGTGCACGAAGGCAGGACCTCCGGAGGCTGGCGGGCACACTTCACAGTGACCACCCTGCTTGCTCCTTGGCCTCCTCTCCCCGAAACCTCGCTCTGGAAGCACCACACTGAGCAGTTTTCTTCCCCTTCTTGCTTCCTGGTGGAGGCTAGCGCCCCTTGCTCCAGAGTGGAGCCCAGTTGAGGAGGGCTGCTGACAGGCCAAGGCTGCGTGGCTGCCAGGAGGAACGTGGGGCTTGTTCTTGGCTGCTGACCCACCTTGCAGCTTCTGCAGGTGCTCTGCTGCTCTGTCCCGTGCCCCGGCCCTGCCCCGGGCCGGGAGAGGGCTCACCTTGTTCCTTGAGTCGGATGATCTCGGTGTCAGAGCCGAAGCTGTTCCAGGCGGTGCAGTTGTAGATGGTCTGGAAGTCGGCGCGCACGATGTTGCTGATGGTCAGGGTGGAGATGACGCCCTCCTCCGTGCTGATGGTCTCCACTGTGTAGCGCCCTGATGTCCCCGACTCTAGCACATTCTCCTTCCAGGACCAGGCCTGTCCGGGACGCAGAATCAGAAGGGGCCACACTCACACCAGCACCCCGTGCGTGCTGCTTCCCGGCTCACATTCATACTCTGGCACCTGTGTGCACAGGTATACCCACGTGCATGTACACATCACACATATGCATATGCACCACAGCACACAAACACACATCACAACACGTGTATACATACCACACACACTGCCAACACGTGTACACACACTATGCCACACATACTGCCAGCATGTGTACACACAGCTATGTGCACACACACCACAAACATGCACACACATGCACACAATACAACACACACAAGCACACATCACAACACACACACTACCAACATGTGTCCACAAAGACATACCACAAGCATGCATACACTATCACACACATAAACATGCATCACAACATATATACACACATATCACATCATACGCATAGCCAACATCTACATACATCACAACATACACACCACCAACGTGTGTACACACAGTCATGTGCACATACACCACAAACATGCACACATATGCATACCCTAAAGCATACAAACATACATCACACTATACACATATCGCCAACACGTATACACCCTGGTACGTGTATACATGCCATGTCACAAACATACATAAACACATATGCACGCACCACAGCATCATAAACATGCATTATAATACATATACACACATGCCACCATCATGTGTACCTACAGGCATATGTATACATACAGCACTACCATTACAAACACACATACACACATGGGCACACACAATTGAATGCAAACACACAAACACACATCAGACCATACACATGCACACACATGCACACACACCACGATACACATAAACATGCATCTAAACACATGCATACACCAAACCACACACAACACACTACACTCCATACATGCCTGCACACATGTGCAATACAACACACATAAATACACATCAGAATGCATGCATATCACACCACATGACACACTAAAAACATGCATACACGCACATACACTACAACACACATACATTACAATATACATACACCACTAACATGTATACACCCAGGTATGCACACACACACCATGCCACAAACATTCATAAATGTGTGCACACACCACAACACCATAAACATGCATTATTTTTCCCCAATAGTGCCATCAAATATACACACATGCCACCAACATGTGTACCTATAGGCATGTGTATACATACACCACACCCACTCCAAACATGGACACACACATGTGCACACACAATGGCACACACATACACACACACACACACCGTGATACACATAAACATGCATCAGAACACATGTGTACACCAAAATTCACACAACACAGTACATCACAGACACGTCTGCACACACGTGCAACAACACACATAACTACACATCATAATGCATGCATATCACACCCCACGACACACTACAAACATGCAGACACATATATATACATATGCCACATGCCATACCACACGTACATAGAGCATGCATAGACACTCTCACAGTACGCACACATAAGTATGCTTATACATGTATACACATACCATAATACACATACACACATCACAACACATGTACACACTTCAACACACATGAGTACACACATCTTGACACACAGGCATAGCATGTGCTCATACACACGAGTGTACACCGCCCGTAAACATGCGTCCACATGTCCACACACACACACGGAGGCTGGGGCCAACTCAGAGGGTACTTCCACTCAAGGAGGGGCCATGTGGAGCGTTTTTTTCCTGGCAATGAGGGCGCTCTGCTGGCAGCAACCTGAGCCTCCTGAGACGCTCCCTCTTGCCTCCGGCAGGTCTGGGGTAGAATAGTAGCCCTGAGGGACCGAGTCTAATTGTCCCTTTCTGTGCTATTGTTTTGAGGAGGGTTTAGCCAGTTGGGTTTGTCATCGTCTTCATTTACCTTAGTTTACAAGGGTGGTGGTTTCCCTGGGCTCAGAGTCAGTCTACATGCGCCATCCACACCTCAGCGGGAAGCCCTGGCTCACGCACCTTGAATGCCCTGGCTTAGTGTTCAGGAGAACGGGGCAGTGCAGTCGGTGCCCACAGGGCCTCGGTTCCCCAAACTTGGTGCTGCTGTCATTCTGGACCAGATCATTCCTGGCTCCTATTCACTAGATGACAGCAGCACTCTTGCAAGCTGTGACAACCAAAAGCGTTTCTAGACGCTGCCAAATGTCCCCTGGGACCAGTGAGAACCACTGGCCTACAAATAGATATTTATGGAGAGAAAAACGGTGTAAAAGTGCCCCCAAAGAGAGTGGAATATTTTACAATGGGCATGTATTACATTTATAATTTTTTTTTTGAATTGGAGTCTCACTCTGTCGCCCAGGCTGGAATGCAGTGGCATACTCACGGCCACCACAGCCTCGACCGGCTGGGCTCTGGCGACCCTTCTGCCTCAACCTTCCAAGGCGCTGGAACTACAGGCACACGCCACCATGCCTGGCTAATTTTTTGGTTTATTGTGGAGATGAGGTCTCGCCAAGTTGCCCAGGCGGGTCCTGAACCCGTAGGCTCAGGCAATCCTCTCACTTCGGTCTCCCGAAGTGCTGGCATTATAGGCGTGAACCACCGCACCCGGCCCTATAATGTTTTTAAAATAGTGAAGTGAATGCAGGAGGCGGAGGTATTAGTTTTATCCGGGAAGTCTTACAATTTTGGTGTGAATCTTTCAGACAGTAAGTGAACGGAGTGCTTGAGAGAGTGTGTAGCAACAACAGTAGTCTAATAATAACTTAAGTTTACTAGATGACAGTTTCAGTTTGTGCAACCTGGTGCCTCCACTTTTGCATGCCTGGGTGGCCAGGGAGTTTTCAGAGGCTCAGCTCCTGGCCCAGCTCTCTCCCTCCTGAGCACTGCTATCTTGTGAAAAGGTAGAACTGCCCTTTGGAGTGGACCCTGGGCAGTTTTCTAGCAGGATTGTCCTGGGCATTGGGAATTGTTAAAAGTATTTTCCCCCAACAGTGTCATCAAATGCCCACTCTTTGTTTTCACGCCTGAGATCTCTCCAGTTTCAGATAGATTTGGGTGCATGACTTTCCCTCTAAACATGCAAATATCTGCCACAGTGTCTCACACCTGCAATCGCAGCACTTTGGGAGGCTGAGGCAGGAGGATTGCTTGAGCCCAGGAGTTTGAGACCAGCCTGTGGTAACATAGCGAGACCCCATTTCTACAAAAAAATTGATAATTAAAAAAAAATATATATATAAAAACAAAAAGTGCAAATATCTGGAGGAAAGGAGAGAGCACGGAAATGCTCATTTTAGAGAAGACAACTCTTGCTATCCTGGGCAGGGTCCCAGGATGCTAAGAGCCTTGGAGACCTGGAGAGGAGGATTCTGGGAGGTCCAGAAAGGGGTCACCAGTTCTAAACTACACTCTAGGATTTTGCTAAGACTGGCCTGGAGCCCAGGAAAGGGAAGGCGTTGTCTTTTCCCTGAGCTCCCCCGGCCCCTCAGGTGCAGAATTCGGATAGAACCATTAATGCCAGCTCAGCAGAACGCCTGCCCAACGCGGCGAGGGAGAGGAAGCGGGGTGGAGGAGGTGTGGTGGGGGGAGCACAGCCTGCTCTGGAGAGGATCCCGCCACACTTTTGTCTCCGTGATGCCCTTCCAAGAGAGGGAGGCGGGGATAACGTTCCCCAGCGAGGAAAGGCGCCTGGGAGGTGGGCACCCCCTGGCCGGCCACGGGCTATGGGCAGGAGTGAACGCAAGCTGCCGGGGGGCGGGGGCGGGGTGGGGTGGGTGAGGGGTGCAGGCCCGCCCCGTCCTCCCTCCTTGGCCACTCACGATGCGGTCGGGCGGCGGGGTGCTGCGGATGAAGCACTTGATCTGGCCCTTCTCGCCGTGCAGGGCGTGCTGGGTCTGGGTGCTGGAGATGATGGGGGGGCCTGTGGAGAGACGGCACCGTGAGGCACCCGGGAGGGGCAGTCCCGGCTGGCCTCCCTTGGGTGGGTTCGGTGGTTTGTTTATTCATGCAGCCAAGCATCCAGCCAACGCTTGCTGAAGGCCTGTATGAGCAAGGCAGAGTGCAAGGCGGGGGACTCAGGATAAATTAGTCATTCAGTCATAAACCTCTCAAGGGACCGTGGCGAGTGCTTCTAAGTCAGAATCCCCAGAGATATAAATGACTGTAATAAAGGGTGGAGAGTGTTAGTACCACGGGCGCGGTGCAGATAAAGTGCTAACCGACTTCAGAGCGGAGAGAATAATTCTATCGGGCGGATGAGGAAAGCTTTAAAGGAGGTGGTAAGCCTGAGAAGGGGATGGGGAAGGTGTGGGATGAAGGACTCCTCCGCCTTGGTCTGCCGCTCCACGACAGCCATTTCTCAGACGGCCAGCAGAGGGCGCTCCTGACTAACAAACGGGAGGGCTGCCGGCCTTGCCAACCGGGAAGAGAAATGGTTGATGTGTCCCTTCCAAGGGCGGGAATCACCCCGAATAGGAGGAACGCGCTGGCCATGTTCATAGCCTTAAACCCACGAGTGTCTTATGAGATACTACAGTTCATCACCTGGTCTGCCTTCACATACACATACACACTCGGGCAGCCCAGGTGAGAGCGGGGCTGGCTCCAAAATGGACCCCAATATTATTCCAAAATGTGTGTGTGTGTGTGTGTGTGTGTGTGAGAGAGAGAGAGAGAGAGAGAGAGAGAGAGAGAGAGAGTTTATGGCTGCCGGGTTCTGAACCCCTGTCTCATTTATCACACTGAACAGCCAAGAGTGTCCACCTGGTGGAGCATCGCCCATTCCACAGTGCTCCCTGTCCGGTTCTGCCTGTTATCTAACCCATGTCTTTCCTGTGTGATGTCCACCTGGCAGTGAAAGGGGAGAGAAGGAGCAGCTAGTTCAGCTGTTTGCTCAGCTATCTTCCTGCCTGGGCTGGGTCGTTGAGGGCCAGGTGTGGGAATGGAAACCCTTGTACCTGCTTTCTAATTCCTGTGGTAAGGGTTGGGACGTAGATGGCAGACAACAGAAGAGAGAGAGAGAGAGAGCTAAGAGCAACGGATGTGGAGAACAGGCAAAATTATGCAGGGAACAAAACAAAAATTGCTGCAAACATAATTGCTGTTTATTAGTCACCTTAATTAAAACAGATTTGCATTTCTATGAGCAGCTCTCTGCCAAGGGGCGGAAAGGTATCGGAGACACTCAGATGGCGTCTACTGAGTTGAGGTCAGGGCTTCTACCGAGATGGCTTTAAGATGGGCTGAGCCTGCCTGCCTAATTCACATCCCTTAGCTCCATGAAGGCTTGGAGCAGAAGAGCTGAGGGCTGGATGCTTTAGGAACATGGAGGGTGATCTGTTCTGCAGCTGGGCTCAAAAGTGATGACACCACAAAACCTTTCCCTTGGCTTCCCAGGAACTGGGAATTCCCTGGGGGGCGGGGGTTGTCAGGGGTTCTAAAAGTCATCAGCAAATGCATCTGTGTTGATGGGCTTCTTAAAAGAAAACAGCCGGGCTCGGTGGCTCAGCCTGTAATCCTGCGCTTTGGGAGGCTGAGGTGAGTGGATTGCCTGAGCCCGTGGGTTTGAGACCCGCCTGGGCAACTTGGTGAGACCTCATCTCTACAATAAATAAAAAATTAGCCAGGCGTGGTAGCGCACGCCTGTAGTTCCGGCTCCTTGGAAGGCTGAGGCAGAAGGATCGCCAGAGCCCAGCAGATCGAGGCTGCGGTGGCAGGGAGCGGCCACTGTACTCCAGTCTGGTGACAGAGTGAGAATCCAACTCAAAAAAAAAGAAAACAAAACAAAAAGCAGGGGTTAGGGAGTCATCTGTAGCATGATTTCTCTCCCCTTCTTGCAGATGCCCGGGTTGAGCCTGGTCGGTGAGGTCTGTGCCAACTTATTTCCCAAAGGACTGCTTCCTGGCCGGCAGTTGTCTGCGGGCTGCGATGTGCGGCGGTGAGAACCCGGTCTCATTCTGGGTGCTTTCACAGTGTCCACCGCACCCAGGCCCTGTCCACTGGGCTTCAGCCCCTCAGGGGGAACAGACAGTTGACTCCCCTGGCGGGTCTGGCAGGCTCCCCTCCCTGGGCCACTTCATCCATCCCCTGCTTCTGGGCTTGGTGACCCTCCTGCAGCAGAAATACACGAGCAGCTACCTTGCTTCTCTCCAATCCCCTTAGCTTTTGTCTGCCTGGCAACCCAGGAGAGCTTGTGCCAGAAGGGGTGGAGGCAGAGGAGGGAGAAAAGACAGACCCAGAGGGCATAGCCTGGGCCCGGGCTGTGGTATTCCTCTGAGAGAAATGTCCCTCCAGGCGTGTGTTCCCCAGGGGATGTCCTCTCCTCAAGAAACCTCTTTAAATCTCCATCGGCAATGCCTGAACATCTAAGGTGACAGCAGATGTCGGGCTTCCTTTATCTACCCTCTTTTCCCCAGAAACGATGCTCATTTAATAGCTTCAGGACTGGGGCGCAGGCGAGTCTGATGTCCCCGGCCTGCTGGCCATGGGGCCAGCGGAGCAGAGAGGAGCTGGTCATAGGCACGGATGGATGGCCCGTTGCTCCAGCGCCCTCTCCAGCCGGGCCACAGAGAGGCCGCTGATCTCACCAGAGCCAAGTGTCAGACACCGGCGCGCCGAAGGAAAAGCTGCAGCCTGTGTGTTGCCATGGATATGTGGAGGCGCGATCAGATGCGGTTATTTTTAGCCCTGCAGTGCCAATTTATTGGTGGCATCCTGAGGACACAAGGACGGGCAGGAGGGCTCTCGGGTCGAGGTTCTGCCCAGGACAGGTGGTCTATGAGTGCTCTGGGTGGACTCTCTCTCCCTCTGGGGCTGCTACAGCTCTGGGAGAGGGGGAGAAGCATGGAAATAGGCTTGGGGGGGGGGCTGGCTAATGGGGACAGCAGAGAGGGATGGCTGAGGAGGCACCAAGCTGGTTTTAGTCTTCTAGAAAGGGGGAGGATGGATGAGGCTGTCAGGGGGCGACTTCCTGGGTGGAGATGAAGCGACACCTACAGGGTTAATTCTGAGGCCTCAGTGCCCTTCCTAGGGCCCTGCTCCGGGGCCCGGACTTCCTGCAAACATGGGTCTGTGGCTCAGTGTCTGCAGAGGCCCAGAGCTTCGGGGCTGTGATCTGAGGCAGACTATGGTGGGGACAGGGGGCTCCCAAAGGGCCACGGCCATGACAGAGGTGGGGTAAGACCTTTGGAAACGGCAGAGAAGTCAAACCGGCAACTTTGCATTCTAGCTATGGTCCAAGCGCCTGCTATGGCAGGGATGTTGGGACTGGCATCCTGGCGCCACAGCCTTCTTGGGTATGGCCTGAGCTAGGTTCCAGATTCTCCGTGACCATGTATATCCCATCATCCAGGCCTCACCTGAGGTCCTTGCTCCTAAAAGTTTCAGTCATTCATCTATTAGCCCCACCATGAAAATACTCTCCTGCTGTAATTCTTGTTATTTTATATGCTAAGACATGTTCCCTGCCCTCAATGGAGATCCTAAGACTGGGCTTGGTGGCTCGTGTCTGTATTCCCAACAATTTGAGAGGCTGAGGTGGGAGGATTGCTTGAGGCCAGGAGTTCGAGACCAGCCTGGGCAACAGTGAGATCCTGCCTCTACAAAAAAGTGGTATTTATTTATTTTATTAGCAGGACATGATGGCATGTGCCTGTAGTCTCGGCTGCTTGAGCGGCTGAGGTGGGAGTATCACCTGAGCCCAGGAGTTTGAGGCTGCAGTGAGCTATGATCACACCACTGCACTCCAGCCTAGGTGACAGAATAAGGGCTTGTCTCAAAAAAGGGGAACTTGGCCGGGCTTGGTGGCTCAGCCTGTAATCCCAGCACTTTGGGAGACTGAGGCGAGTGGATTACCTGAGCCCATGGGTTCGAGACCAGCCTGGGCAACTTGGTGAGACCTCATCTCTACAATAAATAAAAAATTAGCCGGATGTGGTAGTGCGTGCCTGTAGTTCCGGCTACTTGGAAGGCTGAGGTAAAAGGATCACTGGATCCCAGCTGGTCGAGGCTGCGGTGGCTGGGAGCGTGCCACTGCACTCCAGCTTGGGCAACGGAGTGAGACTCCAATAAAAAAAAAAGGGGAACTTGAACACTCGGTCTCCTGGAGATAGTGACAAACCTCCCTGGTTGAGTGGCTCACCTGATGAAACAGGAAGAGGCTGACCAGGAGCCACAGAGATGCTTCCTTAAAATCTCCATGGGCCAAGGTCATGGTGGATGGACCAAAGGGGAGATATGGGATCTGTGTTGGCCCCCTAGTGACCGCTGACACTATTTTCCTGGCCAGGATAAAATTTATCACCTACCACTTGTAGGGCAGACCCTTTTAAAGGTAACAAAGAAAGACACAGGTGATCAGAAAACTACCCAGTCCCTTCCTCCCCTCGGCCTGGGCTTGATGGGGACTCCAAGAGGTAGACATAATTGCTGCTGACCCATAGTTGGAGGTTGATAGCAAGGTCCAGAACCAGTGACAGCCCCTTCGGGCAATGCCTGGTACCAAGATGCCTGGGTTCTTCACCCCTTCCTCCCGCTCTGAGCCACCCCAATAGGAGTCTTACCATTGACAGTCAGGGTCACCTCTCGTTCCCCGGCTCCTACACGGGGCACTACGGCCCGGCACACATACTTCCCGGCATCCTCCTGGCGGACGGATTTGAGGGTCAGGGTTTTTTCATTGCTCAGGACCTAGGAGAATTGGGAGAGTCAGGCACCAAGAGTAGAGACAGGGCTCGCTCTCTCTCTGGGAACTAGACATAGTCTCCAGTAGAAATGGAGGTTGGGAAAAAGAGGCAGAAAGTTTCCGGATACAGATAGTGCCCTGTGGGCGGTATAGAGGAGTCTCTGCCAGCACAGAGGATACCTCTTGAAGCTGAGAATACCATAGGTGCAGCCCTGTGAGTTGGGAGGATGGGGAGGGATGTATGTAAGAGGAGGAGGGGGACTCCCTGGCGGGGGACCCCAGGCTTCCTCCTACAGGAAGGAGATGCCCACCTCCCTGTACGTGTGGTGGCTTCTCCTCTCCCAGGCTGGCCATGGGTGAAATTATCCTACAGCTGAACTTCTTTGAGGGTCCCTGTATTTTATGAGTAATTTTCAGTATCCCTTTGAGATATAGCTTGGGGTGATGAAAAGAAAATGGGCTTCGGAACGGGTGGGGTGGCTCATGCCTGTAATTCCAGCATTTAGGGAGGCCGATGTGGGAGGATTGCTTGATCCCAGGAGTTCGAGATCAGCCTGGGCAACATAGTGAGATATTGTCTCTACAAAAAAAATCAACAAATCAGCAAGGCGTGGTGGTGTGTGTCTGTAGTCCCACTCAGGAGGCTGAGGTGGAAGGATCACCTGATCCCAGGAGATGGAGGGTGTGATGAGTTGTGACGTGCCACTCCAGCCTGGGTGACAGAGTGAGACGCAAAAAAAAAAAAAAAGAAAAAAGAAAAGAAAGAAAGAAAGAAACAAATAAAAAGAAACAAAAGAAAATAAGCTTTGGCATGAGCTTGATCTGTAAATCCTGGCTCCGGCAGTGAATACCAGTGTCTCTTTGTTTCCTTGTGTATATGTGGGGCAATGCCTCCCCCTACTTCCCTAACACAAGGCCCTCGCTGCTCCTCCTGATGGCAAGGACATCCGACAAACTCTTAGGCACACTGAAGAGGACAGATGTTTCAAAAGAGGAACACAGGGAGAAAGTGAAGCGTAACCCTAAGGCTGCAGGGTAACTTAATTGGGGGAGTTAAAGTCTTCCTTTCTTCTTTCCTGCCTTCCTTCCTGCCTTTCTTCCGTCCTTTCCTTCCTTCTCTTCCCCCCCCAGGAGACCCGTGCAGATGTTCAGGAGTCACCTCAGTGAAGGTTCTGGAAGAAGATAAAGAGGAGTCAGGAAGTGACTTCAGGAGGCCCCAGAAATATGAATCAGGGAATGATTTACCCAGGGGCTTAGAGCAGAAGCATTTGGAAAAATCCCTGAAAGCCCCCATGCGGAGTAACTTGGGACAATTCAGCCGGGACATGATCCCTGTTAGCGAGAGTCAGTCCTGGCTTACTATCAACCATGCTGTTCCCAAGCATGACACCCAAAAGAAAACTGGGAATCTAGCATCCTGGAGGGGTCAGAAACCTTGTGTGAACACCTTTCGGGAGATTTCCTTCCTTGATTCCTGCACCCAGGAGATGCTGGAAGCACATATTATAAGATTTCAGGCGAGGCACAGGTGGCGTGCAAACCTCCAGTCCCTGGAGCCCATCAGTCTCCAGTTA